CGGTAATTCTTTCCGTGCACTGGTATTTCGTCCGTAGTCCTAATTTTATGTTTAACTTTATTCGTAAAAGTTAATGATTCTCCGTCAATATAAAACACATCCGCATATTTAGTACATAATGTTTCTAAGTTAGCGCGTTCCTCCGGATTTAAATGATCTGTGCGTAGTCGTGAGAGGACTTCTTGTACTCGCGAGGGTAACTGCTTAGTACGGAATGATTCCATGTTATATGTTTCAGCTTGAATAGCACGATCCATGGAAAATATTATATCATGATTTGTTGGGTTTGCAATTTCAACAAATCCGCGACTATTTTTTACCATAGTTACACAGTCACTAACGATACAATTAGAAAAAAATTGTTGCTTAATAAAAGCTTCACCGTCTTGTAAATTAATTGGAAGTCTTAGCAATTTCTTTGAATAAGCAGGAATAACATCCTCGTATAAATTAACGTTACAAGAATTATATAAATTAATGGGGATACTACTATTACGGGTTTTAAGTAATTTATTTTTAAGATCAATATTTGATTCTAGTTGTTCCAGTAAATCATATCCAATTAAACCATCAAAAGTTTTGTGAAATTTATAAATGAATAATTTCATTCCATCTGGCTCCCTAAACTCTTTAAAGTAAGGAATAGTAATAGAATAATTATGTCTAGACGTAGTATGGGCATTCGTTACTTCAAACGGTTCATAGTTTAAGTGAACATTATAGAAAAATCGGTCTACAGCTTCTGGAGATATGAATGATTGATTCGCTCCAGTGTCTATAAGAAATTTCATAGGTGGATTTGAAATTTGTATAAATGGTAATTGCCTTTGAGTGTGCATATTAATTTCTATTTTGATTTTTCTGATTTCCCCCGCTTGGGAAAATCCTGCTCCTCAATAGAACTTGTTGAAGGTTGAGGATCCGCAGGGTAAGTATGATCCTCATTCAAGTTATTAAAATCTTGGTCGTTATAATTAAAGTAATCCGTCTTATTTTCTAAATCATAATTATGTTCGAAATAATAGTTATCATAATCGTAGTATGGAGAAAAATCGGTATAGTAATAATAATCATTATAATTATAGTCAGAACATTCATTCATATTCATATCCCTAGTCTTAAAATAGTTCGATGGAGGCGGATTTCCATGTCTATGCCAATCATGTCCAGTTAATTGACCCTGTATAGGTCTTTCCCTAGCGACATAATGGCTTACACCACTCATGGGTTTAGGCCCTTGAGTTTGCGGAGCTTGCCTTGAAGGTAATTGAAATTTATTAAATTGAGGGTTATAATTTGGGGGTGTTGACCTAAATATCTGTTGTGTGCGTGAAGGTATACCTGGAGGTCTGTATTGTACAGGCTGGTTAGGCGGATAACTAGCTTTCCATGGTTGTTGCATGGGCGGTGATTGCCACTGGTGCAAAAGAGGTGGTCGTACTAAGGAATTGATCGGCTTATAAATAGGTATAGTACTAGATGGTAAGGCCAAAGAAGACGGTTTAGGTAGTGGATTATGCATATGTGCCTTTTTATCATTATTTTCATTACGGCCTTGCAAATAAATGACGTTCAATTCCTCTTGTACAAACTCGAGAGCTTTCTCGACATTATCAGGACGCATGCAACGTATTCTAGAACCTAATGGCTCTTTTAAGCCTCGAACAAATGCATCTTTAGTTAGTTTCCTATATAAAATACGTTTCGCCTCGACAGTAGTGCTAATAGTGTCGTGCAAAGTCACATAAGTCATTATAGTGCTGAACATGTTAACGCAATGGTCATAAAATTCCTGTGGAGACCTATTTCCTTGTGTAGCTAACATAAGATCATTGTAAAGAGCGGTCTCGTCTCTTTGATCCGAAAAATTATTAATTAAATCTTTTTTAATGCTATCCCAATTCTCAGATAATCCGTTAGAATTTACTATGCGCGCGGCTGGTCCAGTTATTTTATTTAAAATAGCATTTACAATACATAAATTAACAAACTCGTTGCCAGGATTTTCCTTAATACAATACTCATTAACAAATTGGTCACAAAGACGGATAAATCTAGGTAAGACGTGAGGATTACCATCAAATTCTGGTACTAGGCGCATGGCCTTCAGAATATTATCTACGTCACCCATATTACTATATTCCGACTCCTCGGACACTGATTCTAAAGTTAAATCTCTATTTCTATCTAAATTGAGCCTACGGGATAGTCTATCGCGCGCAGGCCCTCTAGGGGTGATTTTCCTAGGGTGGAAAATGGTTGCAACTAAACTATATAACTATTCACTTTACACCTTGAGAGCAACTTTACAGGAAAAATGTATAGTGTACTCACATGCGCTGCATATTGGTAGTTCTAGGATCGATGTCTTGATTTCTCTTCCAGCCAGGAAACTTCAGGTTCTTCTTTCTGGATACTCGTGGACGCGAATCGCTCGCGACGACGATAGCGATCATAGACGACACGGTAATCGATGTGAGATATACCCTATTTCTATTCTCGATACGTCTCGAGTATCCTACCGACTGCGCCAGTTATTGAAGTCGCTGGCGGAAGACCCAAAAAAAACCAATTTTTATAAGTAAACTAAATTTAATTCTAAAAATTAATTATTACAATTATATAGGTGTCTTCGGATCGATGTGTGATCCGTAAGTGCAATTATATAAAATTAAAAATCAGGGAAATGGGTGTTATTGCTGTGGGGACTAAAATGCTGATTCGACGCAGGTGGTTTTCTCGGTAGCGCACCTTCTTGCGTCATGCTTGGTGGTCCGATCCGATCGCCGTTGAGGATGTGTCGTAATACTTGCTAGGTATCTACTATAACAAGCTCCCACGTTTGTTTATTAAAGATAAACGAAGCAAACGAAGAATTGTTTGACTTGTTCATAGCTAAAACGATGTTCTCATTTCGCCATATATGTAGTTAATTGAATCTCAATTTACAATAGAAGGTACAGATAACATAACTACTACTATGAGGGCATAGAACGGAAAGCAATAGACGCCGTGACGATGGACCATAATCCATTGATCCATATTGCTATCAAGGTGCCTTGAATATGCAAAATCAATAGACCACAGGATGATAACACCATTTCAATAAATTGCTCGTTTTCCAATTTGAATATTGCCAGTATCGCCGCTTAAAATATTCACAGATAGAAATTCGCATCGGATCAAAAGCGTCGGAACAATACGGATGTACCTGACACCTGTTTAAAGTATTATAATTTATTGTGTATTGGCAAGGGCAATGATATATTTAGGCAAGGATGAAACGCACTAACGCCAACTAAAGAAATTACGCGGATCTAGTATGTCCATCCTTTTGGAGCATGTGAATTGGCAAACCACATCTAGTGTGGTATAGTGAAAAATAGTTTCAAGTATATTGTTAATATCAAGCATCATTATTATAATTCTATTTTTTCATTTAGGCTTCGGCTATTGTAGGATATTCTCATTTTTTCAATTAATACATATTTAGTCGCTCATTAAAAAAATCTATCAGTGATATAGTAAGCTACATAAGCTTACTATATCACTGACAGAATTTTTTGAGTATATTTAGTGTAAACAAAAAAACTGTTTATAATGTTAATTTAAAATGTGTTCACTTATCTGTGTGATCCGTATTTAGAACTTCCTTTGTCTAAGCAGGTTGTATCTCCGGCTTGATTATTGGAGCAAAGGGCGCTTGGTTATACTGGCCACAAATAAAAACATGTGGCCACCACAAATTTCAAATATAGAATAAAACAGCAATTGAAAAAATAACTAGAAGAAAAAGGACGCTCCATATTTCAACTATTATTAAACAAGAAAATTATTTAGTTAGTTAATATAAAATAATTGTTTCTATTAAAATATATACACTCTAGAGTGCGTGGCCATTGAACTGTAGGTATTACACATCTGGGCGAAATCGTATTTCTCCTTTCTTTTCCATTAATTAATTTATTTTCAGTAAAACACAGCCTACTCTCTATTTTTATGTATTCTTTATACGGATTCGTAATGCAACACTGTGATTTAGCTTATGTAACAGTTTATTCTATTAATATTTTTCCTACTCTATAGGTCAGAATAAACACAGCATTGTGCGTAAATATCTTGACGTTTGATACCGAGTTCCAAATAATAATTTCATTGAGGAAAAGTCCGCACACGTATTATATACGTTCACGTCACGTACTGCCGAACTCGACAGACTCATTAATTTCATCAAGACTGGATGATTAATACTGGTATAAATTATTTCTAATTTACTAGATACAGCGTGTAGCCTATCGATAGAAAAAGTACAATCGTTATTAGGCAACAGAAAATCCGCAGTTTTTGTTTGTTTTAATATAGTTAGGTACCTATATTTTTGCATTTAAAATTATCGAATACCTACTCACCTATACCTATTTTTTGGGTTCTAAAGTCATCGATTACCTACATCCAAGTAGGTAATCAAATGATTAATTGGTGGGTATTAGAAGTCAGTGCCGGATTAAGACAACGTGGGGCTTTTTATTATTGTTTCAAGAGGTCCATGGTTTGTTTTCTATATTTAAGTTTTGGGTTAAAAAAAACTCTCACAATGACAAATCTTGTACACAAAATACTTAACCTCTTTTGTTAATAAGTTTTTGTTGTAAGTAGGTAGGTACTTAGTTGTATCATTTGCTACTATTGCTACTACGTTAATCTGGCAGTAATCTGTTATTAGACGTAGATACTACTATTAGTCACGTTGAATATTATCGTCAATTTTGGACGATAAAAAGGAGACTAATCAATTATTAATATTTTGTATAAAAAACAATATTGACAATTCTTCGTATACCTACGACTGGTTGAATGTACCTACTTACATCACGGAAAATCAAATAACACAAAGGACATTACAGTAGGTACCTAATACGTGCTATGTAAAGATAATGATAGTAACTATCTATAATTTTCAACTAGTAACCGCTTTGTTAAAATTGCACTAAAGAACTTACTTAGCGAGATAAGCTGTATTCTTAACTTGTTCTTTATTAGTTAGCAGCCAGTGCAACACGTGGTGTATGGTCCGAGAATCACCTGCTAACAGCTGCGTCCTAAAATAAGCCGGCTCGACGTTGGCCGGTGGACGGTATTTCACACTTCCCAACATCTCGAGAAGTCGCATTGAAACTGTTTCAGTTTCGTCTTCATTAATATCAAGCTGAAAGTAAGTAATAATTACAATGGTACCTATACCTAAAACAAGATGTCCTCCCTCCGCATTTCACTAGTTCTCCGTTTATTTATTTATTAATACCTTATTTATTAACACTTTATTGCACCAGAAAGACAAACAATTAAATAAAGAACAAACAAGTAATAAGTAATAAGGTACAAAAGGCGGTCTTATCGCTTAAGCAATCTCTTCCAGACAACCTTTGGGTAGAGGAGAGAAGACAGAAAGTGGTAGATGGCGCAAGAATGGACTAGAGAAATATAAAAGGCATATTAATACTAAATAATAATAATTTACATATACTACTTACATATATATATATATATATATATAATACAATTTATATACATACATACACACAAATATTATATACAAATACAAAACACACAGGAGTGTTTATTTTGTATTTGTATATAAGTAAATTATTGTATAAGAGTAATTATGTAACACGCAATTTCGAATAAGCTAAGTGGATGAAGACTGACAGATCAAGAAAAGTTTAGTTGGAGAGATAGTAACATTTAACAGAGTTCTTGAAAACGGACAGTGATGGTGCGCTACGAATAGAGAATGGAAGTGAGTTCCACAAACGAATAGCTAGTACAGAAAGGGATTTAGTATAGAATGAGGATTTATGGATAGGGGTTTTTAAACTAAGGTTTGTAGCACTGCGTAGCCCATGACTTTGTGCCTCACCGAGAAATAAGAATCTTTCTTTAAGGAGTAGTGGGTTTAAAAAGAATGGAGTAGAGAAGAGAAAGAATATGCCACGGCGAATAGCCATTGAGCTGTGAACGATAATGAGAAATGTGGTCATATTTACGAAGTCCAAATATGAACCTGATACATATATTTTGGAGACGCTCAAGTTTGTTTAATTGGTCTTCGTTTATTTCCTTTACACCATGCAAGAAATTATAGAACTGCTGTAAACTAGTAAAGGAGGTTTTCATACATAATGTATCCTAATAATATACGTGTATATTTGGGTATATTGTATAAAACACCAGCGATGTAAACGAAACGAGCCGGTATATCTATGTAAATAGCGAGAAAACTTACTTACATATATATGACACTGGCGAGCTACCAATAAAGGGTGATAGTATGAAAGTAAAGTTAGGTCAGTTACCCTACCATAATACATTTACCAAGAATTAACCACGATGGATAATATTCCAGCGCGGACCATGTGGAAGTCATTCTGACATTGTATATTGCTAAGAATGGGGTCACTATTCCCTGTTACTAACAATCCCCTTCCTCCACATATAACCAGGGTTGCCAGATATAAAATATTCACCTGAACAGTTATATTTCAGCACTGTTTATGGTATTTTTTTTAACATCTGGCTACTCAGACCTTGCTTGCTAATGTTCTAATTAATTTCCGTATTAGAATACGGAAATTAATTAGAACATCCTCAATTGCGGTCATCATCAGCCGCTCGAGAGCACCTCAAAGTCAGTTCTTTGATTGAGTCAATTACTGCCATAATGACAAAAGAGTGTACCATGGGCAAAAAAAATTATACCTACCCTTTCACCAGCGTTGTAATTGACGAGCAAGTCGACCAACAGCTGTAGCAATTGCTTCTCGTTCAAGGCGTCGAACTTTATTAGGTCATAGTTCCGACCAAGATTTGCATTCAATTCCTTCACAATAAACTTTATTTGTTCCGTCATTTTAATTATCCCACTTTACAATAGTACGATTTTATTACCTAGCTACTGAAGAAGTTATCGCTTTGTAATTCAGTTCGAAAAATATGTTTACATTCATCGTTGTCATAGCAACGTGAAAATTTTCAATAACAAATTTGTGCGTATCCCTCATTATAAAATTTTATTATCATAGCGTTTGAAAAACGATTTTGTAATTACTATATTTGCTGATATCTTAACACAATCGATGATGTACTAAGTAAAACACTCATTCTATTATATGTATTTCTAAAATTAAATTCATAAGTTCCGCTGAGCAAATAATCACTATGCTTTTTTGTGAAGTGCTTAGATATACAAAACGGAAAAAAATGTATTGTGCAATTTAATATGTGACCAAATAAATATTTCCCTATAGCATAGTGATTATTTGTCACATAATAGGTACTGCCAATAAGCTTTAGTGAAGAAATTCGGCTGTTAGGCTGGCACGGTTACCGCTTATATTTTATTTATTTATGTATTCTTTATTGCACAATGAAACTTGTACAAAAAGCAAGCTTAATGCCATGTAGCATTATATATATAAATGCCAGCGACTTTATCCTTGTAGTATTGTTATTCCTTCGATTCACATTTTTTAACTTCCTTATTGAAAATTGGTTACTGTGTGCGTTACGTTTATATCTTATTGCAAAGACTAAATGCAGTGACTGTAAACGATTGTATATAAGCCAGAATGGTGGGGAGAGATTGAAAAGTATCTGTAAGGCCAGATTCTTAATGGGCGTATAGCCTATATTGCCCGCAGTATAATATACGGAATAGTTCATACTTTCCCTTAATGATGAATAGTTTAAACAAGTTTTTTTTTTATTTCATGATAACAGCGACAGACAAAAACTAATGGCTAAATACATAGCCAGTTATCGCTGGCATAATTGTTATAATTAATATGTATAGCAATATGTTTTCTTCGATTTTGGTTCAAAGGTATAATAATAAAAAACATTTTTGAATAAATTATATTTCTGTTATTATTCATTCATTATTATTTATTGTAATCGTCAAATCTCATCAGATTGCCCTTATGACTACACCATAGTTTGTGCCTACTTGCTAAGTAGATTTCAGGTCTAGGCATCATTCTTTTAACATCTCAACATTTGATCGCTTCACAGCCTAACATTGTTGATTACGAAATTTACTCTCCATTGATTATACTATATTAATAAATTAATGCAATGACAAAACTTACTATTGAATATAACAATGAACTTAAATTCTCTGTCTCCTTGACAGTTGGTAAACGAAAAAATCGTTGAAGTAATTGATACCGTACATATGATATAGAACAAAAAAAGATGCAAAAATTGCACTTGTTGAATCACATGAGCGATGTCGATTAATATCGATTTTTTCATTTGTCGTGTGTAAAGAATGAACTCTCATGAGACAATGTTTTCATATTAATTTGTATTTATACTTTATTTAAGTATATACGATGTGAAACCAAAACTACAATAATCTAAGTAAAGCAAGATAAAACATGTGAATTAACATCATCGACATAATAATACTAGCACCAGTTTGAGTAACCTAACAACAATAATTGAATAAATTAAACTAGTATCATTTTACTAAGTTTGAGATAGCTGTAATCATTATTGATAATCGGCAGTTCACTAGGTGCACCTTTATTTTGAAAAATACTTACTATACTATGGCATGCACCATTTTTTATACAGACCTAAAATAATAAAGACCAGAAATTACGAATAATCCTTTGTGAAAGGAATAATCCAAACGTCAAGATGGCATGAAACAAGCCTTCTTTTATTTATATACATAATAAAAATTATTGATGTTAACATTAACAATCTCAATTAATAAAACAATTTCAAGTAAAAAAAAATACCTGCATTTATAGTATTATTCATCAAGAATAATATACACACTACCATATTTTATTATATAAACATAAATAATTTGTACTCTTCTAAATTGATGGAAAATTGATTATTTACAATGATACATATTTATCAACACTAAAAACAATCAAAGGCATCGTAACAATATTGCCATAATTGCATGTTGAATATCGGTGTTGATTTATGATTCTTTTTCAAAGCTTCTAATAACCTAAGTGTTAAGTCTCACTATTTCACCTACCTAAATATAAATACAACCCTTACACATAATACTAAGGTGTTCAGCGACGGGACATGCTCAGTTCTAAAATCAATATAATTAAGTCACTACTTTTTTAAGTATATGTGAAAGATTTAAAATGGGTCGCGGTACTTGTATTTAATAATTTGATATAATTAAATCAATTTTAATATAAATGAATTCTATTTCGTTTTCTTTATTTTAATATTTTCCAAATAGCGCGCTTTTGGATCGCACACTTGGCCCTTGCAATTTTTCTCTCTATATGTATGAACAAGTACTACAAGAAATTCAACTCATAATAATAGGAATGTTTCAGAGAGAAGAAAACGACTGGAGGAAGGACTTTACATAACTATCGATTCATTATTCAATCCCGTGGCCAGCCACATAAATGCACATGGCGATTCTCTATAAAAATGCTAATAAAAATACACGTCAAAAGGCAATAAAAATCGAAAAACGAAATTATTTACGAAATCGAAATAAAAATATAATGAGGTCGCCGATATAAACCGTATCGAATAGAAAACGAATCATTATACAACCGGACGTTTATCACTAAATCACAAAGAACGAAACCGCCGTGTCCGTGGAAAAACTGATGAGATGGACTCGATCGCGTCGAGGCCGCTCTTATAGCAAGCCACCTTTCCGGCCGAAAAGTAGGCTGAGCGTGCCGAAGGCGGACCTCACTGCCGGGCCGGGCGGCGTCGCCGGCTCCACGGTGCCCAGGTCGGCGCGCGGGCGCGGCCGCCGCCCGCCCTTGTCCAGAGCGCCCTCGCCCGGGTGCGCGGGCACGCCCAGCGGCGGCGGCGGCGGCGCCAGCGCGGCGACGTCTACGGGCGGCGCGGCGGCCGGCGAGCGCAGCGTGCGCTTCAGGCAGGTGAGCTGCTCCATAGGGCTGCGGTGCACGAGGCCCGTATAGAGCGAGCCGGGCGTCTGAAGCGCGAGCGGCGCGGGCGCGGCGTCCGCGGCGGGCGAGGAGGCTCCGCGGTACCGACGGCGGAGGATGGAGGTGCCGCTGGCGATGAGCGCGTGCAGCGAGGGCGGCGCGTCGCCGGGCCGCGGCGTGGCGGGCGGCGAGGCGTCGGGCGAGCCCAGCAGCGGGCTGTTGGCCGGCGTGGCCGTGGGCGAGAAGTGCGGCGCGCAGAACGACTCGCGCCGCGACAGCACCGGCGACACGGCGGCCGACGTGCGCCGCGACGTGCGCCGCGAGCTCCACGCGCTGCCCAGCACGCTGCTCGCGAGGCTGCTCATGCCGCTGCTGCACACGCTGCTCACGCTCGTGCTAGCCAGGCTGCCGTCGTTCGGGTGGAGCACGGTACTGTCGACAAACAATATTGTTCGCTAATAATCGATAAACAATATTATTAGATCGTACCAGATGCAACTTATTTTCCTTTTATTTCTTTTTATATTTTTATAGAAATAAAAAAATAATATCTCGAAATCAAGCAGTACATAATATTACATAAATACATATATTTTACTTATTAAAATCTTCACCTATTAAAATCAAAATATCATACTACAATAACAAATCAAGTTTAAAAATACCTTTATAGCACTATAATACTCAAAACCAATAAATATATTTATAGTAATTTATTGAAGATTTTTCTAATTATGAATATCCACTGTACCTGTTTGTGAAAGTGTATACGTGGCTTGAGTGCGGTAATCTCAGCATGTCGTCGTCCTCCTCCACGTCAGACAGCCGGTACGTTTGCAAGCCGAGCGCGGCCGCAGACCTCGAGCCACGGACACCTACACCCTCCTGTTCTTCTAGAAGACCTATAAATGAATAACAACATATTACGCTGCATATTAAGGATACAAGAAATAGATATATTTAATTATTAAGGTAGCCGCAAACAATTAATATGAATAGTTCAATAAAATGTTGCATGAATAATGGTTACACATTAGCAAGACAACATTGAAATCTGATTAATTCGCCTCCTAGGTCGTATCTCCTTATTTTTATTAGATACTAATTAAACAATAATATCTATATTGCATAATCCAAATAAATTAGCAATGTAAATTCAATGTTTTTATGTCATGTTTATTTATAACTTACTGTTATTAAGAACTATTAGACCTTTCATTGTGTACGACTGCCTTGAAAGATATAATAAATAATAGTGTTATCACTTAGTATATTTCAAGTATAATGTTTTGCTTCTGAAGTGTTACAATACGAGTGAATGCCTGATATTTCTGTTTATCCAAGATAATATATTGTGTAATTAGTACGGTTTGTGCTTTATTTATATGGTTACATATTACTCAAACAATAATGGTTTAAGGTCACTTAATAATATTAATATAAATTTTAGTATGAAATATTTACAAGTATTTAAAAAGAAATATAGGATTTGTTAAAATGCTACTTGTAATAGCATTTATAGCAGTAGAATATAAAAAATGCAATCAACAGTTGTTAATCTGTCTGATATCAATCATGAATCCTCACAATTTGGCCTTCATATAGATGATTTACCTGACATGGTGGGTTTAGCGAGCTGCGCCCACGTGTGTAATGTGAGGGATCCTTCCAGAGGCTTCACTATCTGTAGTTTGTGTGGAGCGCGGAATCGTGCCAGACCACCAGCTGCGCCCGCGCCCCACACCGCACTCTCCTCGCTGAGGTCTCTGTCTGTAAATGTAGATACAGTGTTTAATTCGAATTCGAAATTCGAAATATAATTAAACAGAATTCAGGCAGGAGGACACATTACTTAGTGGATTAAAACTTAAAATCTCCAACCGTAATTGTCGTAACTTTCTGTTAGTTATTAATAGTGCTATAGGTTCAAGCACCTGTACTAAAAGACAAACCCCCCCATAAAAAAATATATTTCGAATTATGTACGACAGTACAACGATGTACAACTGCCTCTGAAAATGCCGTAATCGGAAACTGAGATCAGCTGATGCCATGTGTTTTCGGAATGAATACTGTTGAGTTTCACGTTGTACCAGAATCCTCTATAACATGAATGAATGACGCACGGCTCATGATGATCTCGTGTCTATGAGGCAGCTGACACATGTGAACACGTACCGGCATGACGGCGGTGGCGCAGTGCATGCGAGGCGGTGAGTGAAGCGCGTCGCGAGTCGATCTCGTGCGGCGTGAGGCGGCGTAGAGCAGCCGCCAGCTCTGCTGCACCCGGCGCTCCTGGTACGCCAACGCCAGAACCCCCACTGCGAAACAATTCATTCTAATAGCTGCCTTTGCAGGCATGCTCCTTCACGAAAGAAAGTATGTGTAGGTAAATGTAAACAAAGGGAATGAAAAAGACCGTTCGCGCCGCCAGATCGCGCTCGTTCATTGTCAAATGGCGCACATCTGACTTTGCAGCAAAAAGATAGAGTTATTGAAAATTAATCAAGCCTAAACATGTCTGTGTAAAATAATTTGTGTAACATGCGACATATTCAGTATAACGCACGAAACAGTGAACACAATAAAGAGTAAAACATAATCATACACGATTGTGCACACTGGCTTTGCCGAGCTAAATCGTGCGCGCTTTTGATCGCACATGAAATAACGTATCGTCTAAGGGCAGGTAATATAAAATAGCCTTCCAATTGTTAGCTATCAAAATGATATTAACGTTCCATCTGTGAGACCAATTGCACGACTTCTCACAGATGGGGTCAGTGTCCGAGTCCAATTGGTTACTTCGCAGATGAGAGGATAGTGAAAAGAACTCACGGATAGAGGTCATCGGAATCGGTATCGGAGACGTCGTCGAAGAAGGAGTCACTGGAGGTGCGTTTGGGCGGCGGCTTGAGGTAGACGGCGGCGGAGGACGGCCCGTCCGGCGCGTCCGCCGCGTCCGACCCGGGCAGCGACGCGCCCGACCACCGCGATGCACACTGCACGGTTTCAAACACTTTCTGCATACTTGACCTGTTCGTATACACAACTCATTATTATATATTGTCACTAAATTATAATGCACCTGAACAATTCCCACAGAGCCGTTTAGTACCAAGGTGAGAAGAGCTTGTGTTATGGGTACTAGACAACTGATATATATACTTAGATTTTTTTTAATTACATACTTAATATAAGACTAAATACCCAGACTGATACAAACAATAACTAATATACTCATGCATACAAATGTTTGTACCGTGCGAATAATCGAACTCGCGACCGACAAAATTAAAGCGGGATGCTAAACCGCTGGACCACCGAGGCCGTCATGATGTTACTATTTCGTAGTTCTGAAATTTGCTCATATGAGACCCCTATGTAGAACGGCTTTATTTCTCATATTATTATAATGCTTCTGGCCACAGCTGGAGCAATAGGTGACGAGAACACTTTAAACCCCCGAAAAGATTCATGAAACAATCGTATGATAAAATTCAATGTTGTCCCCCAATCCTTGAACTGATTTTCTCTGTAACTCGAAACTGGTTTTGTCTGTGTAACGTCGACTTTACTAACTGTGCGAGCGGATCGCCGATGCCGGAGTCGAGGCTGAGCTCCGAGAAGACGGAGGAATGCATCTCCCGGTGCAGGCTGGCCGGCAGCAGGCCCGCAGCAGCAGCCACGCTCGGCATGAGACCGCGCACCGGCTCGCCGCGCTTGCGAAGCTGTCGCAGCTGCTCCTGCGCTTCCGCCAAATGCGCAGCCACTTCTGCATATCGCTCCTACACAGTTACATATCTATTTTTAAACTAAACTCATAATACACGCAATTAATATAAATTGCACTTAAACTAACATTATTACGCTGTTTATAAATTAACCGAAGAATATTTATCATATATAATATATTTATATATTATCAAATTCAACAAATGTAATGAAATAGTTGTAGGCGGCATGACGTCGTTGGAAAATTATAAATTATTTTACTATTACCATTAATGGGTTAGATATAAATTATAAAATCATCAGCAAAGGTTTATTACCTAATTAAATATTTTACTTTACAATAAAGTTAATTATATAAACTTTACTATACATAATCCCAAAACTGAAAATTTCTATCTATTTCAAATGTTGAAATTATACTAAAAAATACTACGCCATGCCTCTTTGTTGCATATAGAGTTAAAGGTCGATCAATATAATTGCATTGTTAGATAAATACTAAGAACGTAAATACGTTCAAGTTGATTGATTACTCCTTTGTTATCGATAAACTGACATCATCTAAAAAGTTAAAAGATTATTAAAAACCAAGTAAAGTCAAAATACCTTACTTTTTGGTTATTGATAATGTAAGGATAACAATAAATTATTATTAACTTGATAAGAATCTAAGCGACTTTAGATATCTTTTAAAAACCGAAATTAATAATATATGTAAATAAACAACAATAAGTATACATTTTTAATACCTATCGTTTTTTCCTTTAAAATTGTTAGTACTCAACTTACAAAGTTCAATTTTTCCTACAGTTATTATATAAGAAATATATTATATTTGAAAAATATAATATATTTCTTATATAAAATTAACATAATACAAAATTAACCTCCGTTATTTCTTATAGTACCTACATATACATGATAGTACAATATTTTCAACTAGATTTGCTAGCTTGACTTACCTTCGTGTCGGCCAACTCAGTTGCAAGAGAATTTTGATTTTCTCTAGTGATATCTAATATTCTTATCGTGTGCTCGTGTTCTGCGGTTAGCTGTGGACAAACATTATGCAAATATTACATGCATATGGTCTACACGCGACCTTGACACAACCTCCTTGAATTGCGGTATAGGTCTAACGAAATGGACAACTTGATATTCTAGTGTTTAAATTATTCATAACATAAAAGCGAAAGTGATTCGATATGTTTCTACGGCTGTATGTATGGAACGATGAGGGCAATTAAGACTATCCAATGTTAACATGGGTACATTATGCATCCATGCATACAAAATCGATATAAAATCTCCATTACCCAAATGGAGATTTTTCATCGATTTCAATTTCACATTCTACATATTTCAAAATCGAATACTTTCGTTAGCAAGATTATCTTAATTTTGTTGCGATTATTAGATTAAACTAGACTATTATAAAAAGAACCTTATTCACATTAACATACCGACAGTTTCTCGGTGGAATGCATATGCTATATGAAACTTATGCATACAAAGTAATATGATAAGAAGTAGGTAACCGAAAATTACACTTAATCACATTTTATCAAACAAATATTACGATACAGCAAATAATATTATTTATTGATAATGAGACTAAAGTAATGAAAACATTGAAAATAAGTTAAATTGTAGCATTATTTACCTTTTGGAAATTTCTTTCAGTGACGGCGAGCCTTGCGTTCGTGCTATCAACCTGGTGCTGCAGATCCGCATTTCGTTGTCTCTCCTCCTCCAACTCATTTTGCAAGACGGTAGCCTCCGAGTTTGCACTTGCTACACACAAATAAATATAGTAATTAATACTAATAATAATAATAACATAGAACTACAGAAATCCACACTGTTAGATACATGTTCAATAGTTAGGATTTTTTTAAATAGTTGTTTTAACTAACATTTAAAATACAATTGTTAAAACAAGCGACATGGCGCTAAAAACCCGTCTATGTCATTACTACAAAATCTAATCAACTGTATGTTGTGAATTGTGCAATAATAATAATAAAAATGTCCTGGACTATTATTATAATACGCCCAGGACAATTTACACAACGCCATCTAATCCCAATTAACGAAACAATTCAAATTACATATGAATTTCTTATATATATTATATGTATGAAATCTGGAATAACATATTATTAATGATCAAATGAAAATCTGTAAAAAATGTATACCTTCAATATCACCTTGCAAGTTTGTGTCCAATTGTTTCAATGAGCAACTAATTATTTACATGGAGATAATCAATATTTAGTATTACAAATAGAAATATTGCTACAGCTTTATAAAACGCGTGATCGATTACATTACAAAACATTAATGTAACACAGTTAATTTAATAAAATACAATTATCATTTTAAGACACTTAAATAAGGAAAACGAAGTAATGATCCTCTTTTATTATAAAAACGACATTGACTACAGCTTCAAATTCTTTTTTAATATAAATATGTATAACCAATAATATTATTAACAATACTAAATAATTAATAATACATTATTAAACTGGTGTACCAGTTGTTTAATAATGTATGTATAAATGTATACAAAATTATAATACAAATAAAATTTCACAAGTAGTGCATCTTCTTCAACCACGTTGGCTTGAACAAAACGATGACAGAGGGTAAGTTGAAACAAGTATGGTCTGACAGGGTGCAAACCTTATAGAAAACACGCTGCTAGGCCACCTTGCCCCACCAAACCCTTAGGTATTCGGTGCTTCGATATTCTTGATGCGGAACACATTAATCGGCAATATAATAATAACACATGTACATATTATGATAAAGTTCTTTATCAAAATTACTCCGCTCTTCTGTAGATAAGCCATATTACACACTTATATCAAGTACGCAGAATATTTGAAGTTAATAATTTACCTACTATTAAATCACTTGTAACACTTATGAGTAATCAGTTGATGATATTTTTGTACAATTAACATTATTTTTTAAAACAAATTAAATAAACTTATAACTAATAAACCTGAGCCATCTACTCGAATGGGCTTATCTGCAGAACAGTGATTGATATTCATCAAGATATGAACAATGTTGTACGTATATAAAGAAATTTATACACATATCACAATTTTTCAAACTTAACAAATCTTCAATTAAACTGTTAATACCATCAATCAATTGGCATGATGTGTTTATATTTTTCGTAAATGAACTATAATTTAAGACTGTAAAAAATATAGTGCAGATGTGAAAATTTATGGCTGTCTATCATAATTATTTCTTGTTTATTTACACACACCGATCTGCATACATGAAGTTCCGTTCGATTGTAGTAGTTCTAAACAATGTAAAAAATATAAAGTAAATTACTGATTGAAACGAAATTATGATATAGGTACATGATTTCTTACAATGTCAATCAGTTCTGTGATGAATAAATTATACGACTATGTCATTAGTCAACAATAGTCTAAAAAATATATATTTAACCATAGTTTTGAAGCTGAAGTTGATCACTATGTTAACTAAAACCAAAAACATTTATAGAAAGTGAAAACAGAAATTGTTTTAATATATAAATGCATTTCGTAATGATGAATCATGTGTTCTATTATAAGTACAGTTATCAGTAACTAATCAATAGCACATGCGTTAATAGCTCCCCTAATTTATTTAATAATTATAAATAGATATTACTAAACAATAAATAATATACAGTTTGCAATTAAAGATAAGTGTAATCCTATTTATGAATGTACCTAATTCGTAATAAAAATTTATATGTGCATCCTTTTAAATGAGCATCACTGGAATCATTATCAAATCAAGAACTCACGCAGCGAATTAACCATAACGTGCTAGACTCCAGGGAACGCAGTGTATATAGTCATTTAACCGCCATGAATATGCTGCGTCCGTAAATCAGTGACAAAGGATACTTAACAAAAATAGTCTTAATATTTTAATTAATAAATACAGTATTCGTTTCTAGATGATGGGATAGACTTCGTAAAAATCTATTCACCCACTATACTTTCATCATAAATTCCAAAAAAACAACGAAAGTAAGAAGTCAGTTACTTTTGCATTTATAAGTGGAGTAACGAATACTAATTTCACTATATATCACCTGTGTGATTAACAACTTATGTCTATACAGCACAACAACACACGCCGTTTCCGCAACTGCGACGAAGGCGATATATCAGGCACTCCATGTGTTATTAGTCTTAGATTAAAGCAACATTTTTATATTCATCGATCACACTTAATACATTAACAACAGTAATCATTTTAACATTTATGAAAATTGACATTAAGCAAATGAATGGCAATAAAAGAAATATGTAAAAACTTGTAAGGTATGGTAGATACAACAATAGGCTTACCGAGTTGGTGCGCAATATCCCGCAATAGCTGTTGCTCAGCCAGCTCGGCGCTATCTGTGCCGGCGGCAAGCCGCGCGGCCTCCTCTCGTAGAGCCCTGTTTTCTCGCTCCAGTGCGCCTGTGCGTTTGCGCAGTGCTGCCGCGCAAGCCGCTTCTTGCTCCTCCGTCGTGGAGGTACCTTCCTCTGTGTCATTTGTTAACACCTAGGTCCACACGTGAAATACTTATACATCACGAATAGCCATGAGCGCATTGGACTCTAATTAATAACATTCCGTCGACTATATGTCAAAGAATTTTAAACTGAATATTAGCTATATGTTAAGTTACATCTACTATTTAGATGTTTTCAAGTACAACTTTGATATGATAAAACAACTGTAGACTATATAAAACATGTTTATGTAATTATAATAAAACTATACGCTAATATGATTTGATATATATGCCCGAAGTGAATAGCATGGATTTATATACATAAATCATTTCAACATACACGCAATATTCGCTTAGATTTGTCGTTTACAGGGGAGACATAGGCTAGAATAGATATGTGTATTGTTATATGTATCTATATGTGAACGATCTCTGTACATGGTTCATCATCAAGATCACCGTCAGAATATAGAAAGGGTGACTCGCCTGGGAAAGTGAAAACATCTTACAAGAAACCTACTTGGTTTCTCGCAGCAATTGCAATAGATCCGTTGTCGTATTTCAGTCTGTAGTGCAAGAAAGTCTCCGCATTTATAAACGCAACCATAAGATCTGTTCAAGGCTGTGTTATGAGTGTTCTAAATTAATCTTTGTCACTTTATGCCAGTATAAAGTAACATAGAATCATGATTAAAACAGGAAAAACCGTATATATTTGACTACATTTTTACGGAGTAAAACCTAATTAAATTAATTAGAATATGCAAGTGTCAATTCGAAACCAAGGTTGTCACTAGCTTCGAATTGTTACTTGGCTACTATGGTTTTCTACTATGCCACGTTAGGCGTGGCACAGTGGAAGGCTAAAAGTTGGCTACTGTTTATGTAAGCTAGATTATATGCACTACTTATTATTACCAAATTTTTTGTCAATAATAAATATGTGTACTTATTGGAAATGTTGTATGTTCGCGATAATCTCAAAAACTGAACAATATTCTTGGCGTTTTCATCTATCAATAGTGTACTTTCTGTTGAGAGATGAAGACGTTTAAGTGTATAATATAATATAGTGTCCTACTACCCTTGTTAAGCCAGGGAGTCTCGGTAGTAAAAATATGCCAACATAATCATTCCTATGCGCTTTTTAAAATTCCTCGGGTTTGAAAATTTTATAATTGCAAACAGTAATGAAATATTATATAAGAAATTTCTGAAGTTTACCTGCAGTAAATCTGTTTTAGTGGTGAGATCGTGTTTGAGCTGTGTGATGAGGTCCCGAGCGCTACGTAAGTCGCCCTCGAGCGATGTAACACGAGCTTCCAGACGCCCATTAGCAGTCAATAATTCCTTGCCGATACGTGCCGTCAACTCCAAATCCTTCTCTTTCTGTTAAATAACAGCAAGTTACTATAACCTTTTACTATTATATGTACACCATCGCAAATGCGACGTTAAAAGCGAAAAATAGAGTCCAATTTACATGGTACGTTTTCCATCACTTTATGAAGGCGCGGTAATAACCAGATCTACTCACAGACAAATAATTCTGCAACAAATAGGTGTTCAAAACTATGCCATAATACTTAATAATGTAATTAATTGTTTCTGAAATTTGCTTGATATTTGACGAACATATGGAGATACTAGCGCCATAAGAATTAATAACTAGAGAACAAAGAAAACTAATTGTGTGATTTTGGTATATAAAAAATAAACAACTTACTTCTTCTAAGAGCCTTGTTACCGCTTCGATGTCATTGTAGGTTTTTGTCATTTGGCTCACTCTGTTGCTGCATAGAACTGTAAGGGAAAAACAATTGTTCAGTACTGCTACAGCGACGTGGTCACCCTACGCGTTATCGAAAATTGCTATATAATGTTGGAACAATGGAATTCGATAAGAAAGTAGATAGATATCAACTAACTTGTAACTTTCATAGCATATTCTTTCAATGAATCTTATTGGAAATAATAATATTAAACGCGTGATTCACGAATAGATTACTTTTAGATCCTGAATCCGTAATAAGTGCTTTAAACTCCTATTACTCGATTTATGGCCAATCGAATAAATATGTAAAAAATAATATATGTATATACATTGAACATAATTTTTGTTAAGTGAAAAAAACATGCACAAATGAGTAAAAAACATATTAAAATTTACAACAAAATAAATGTTGTACGTATGAACATTGTATATGTACACATATACATTATAACTATGCTAGTATGACACCATCTGAAGAAATAAACAAAACACGATCATGATCATAGCCAGCAACACAATATAGCTAAAGTGACAACGAAGATTCTATGAGAAAAATATATGTATACATTTGAAATATTTAAAAACATTTTTTATTGATTACAGTATGTACCCACAAACCTAAACAATTTTGAATTTAATTCGTCGGCATAATAAAATACATTTTCTATATTAGTATAATTAATTAATATGATTATTAAACCTTTACGCTACATTGTGTGACCACAACAACTTTAATAAAATAAAGTAAAAATAGTAAGTAAGACATAAGTTGTTTCTTACGGATGTCTTGAATGTATTGCTTTCAACAAAAAGGTCAGATTTTAATTATTAATATAATTTTTTTTTTCATTTATTTTTTAATCGGGCTATCAAATGCTTAATAAAGCGAATTATGACTTATGAAGCCTACTAAAACTTAAGAATAAAAAGACAAGATCACAAATTAAAAAAATATTATGCAAAATGATATATATTTTATTTGATTTTATAAAATATATTTTATTGATTACAATAAGCAACGATTGCAATACGAAATTTCATTTAGAGTAAGTTATGTATATATACAAAACTAAATAAATATATATTCATATTTTCAAAAACTATGTGATATACTGAAGATATTTATTTCGTACAAAGTTTTACATATTTTATATCAATTATGCCTTAAAAAGAATCATTCCCTAGAACAAAATTACCCATACCTTTAAAACCAAGTATTTATATATTTTGTTTTTTTAAAAAAAATCCATTTTATTCGTCCACACTATAATCGATTAACTGTGGTGGATTGTAAGCTGTATACACGAGTCTCGACCAAACGATCTTTCACTTCACAAACTGAATTTATATTGCACTTGAAAGTCCATGAAGCAATATACAATAGTACAGGGGTTTACTCGACACAATAGATACATAAATTCAATGAACACTTAGACGACCACAAAGCTGTGTCGTAAAACAGCGTATAAGTGAAACGCACTCAACTGTAAAGACAAAATAGTACGAGCTCGCCGGCTACTAACAATGATAAGATAGTATAATCTTGTTAAAGGGACATTATTAATATATCAATTATTATTATGCAAAAATACTGACCAAACGGAACCTTATCCAGCCTTCGTGCGTTCATTGAATCACTATATGAATGCGAGGTCATTAAGCATTATGTGAACACACAAATTTTCGGAGGAACGTTATAGTGTTCGGCACAGAGTTGTATCAATAAACAGTAGCGAAGCGTATAGTTACCGGCGACAAACACTAGTGCAAATCAACCAATCGGGCCAACGACTGCGTAACGTACGCAACCAGAGAACTTCAGGTTAAATGTCGGTTCAATGGAGGGCACGCAAAACATACTATCCATTGTACACTCATTATGTGGGAAAATGGAGTATAATAGACAATTTATCCTATTCATGTAATAATTTTTCACATATCACTACAGCAGTAAGTACCGCCAGTACTATCATGACATGGGCTGTCTAGAAAAATCTATTACATTAGGCGTTATTTAATATTTTACTATAAAAAGAAACCGTACAGCTATCGATATATTGATTTCTTTACTCTTTATTTAAAACTATGTATATTGGTATTATATAAAATATACGGTATATATGTATAAAACATATCAATTGGTTTTTAAGTAATAAGTTTCCTAACATATTAGGGACACAAATTAGGTTGCAAAAAACATATCGTATTTTATTCTTTTATTTCGATATTTTCGGTCAATCAATAAAGGTTAATTAATTAGTCAATTTAAAATAAAATATTTTTTACACGAGAATACGCCGCGCTTGCTTTCCAGTCATGATAAAAAATGGCTTGAGAGAATGTAAACAATTGTTGCATTCTATATGGTGGGTGGCATTTTTTCCCACTCTTACCTAACGATTACAACGGATATTGATTGTGCTCGTAGTTACGTCTCTCTCACACGAATCAGAAAGACTTTCTCGGTTTTGTTACGCACATTTCCTCTATCTGTGAAATGTTAGTGGTGTAAACTATACAAAAAATATTTGATAGAAAAACAACCATCATGTAACTTCTACATTTGGTTAGATATGGTATCATCAAATTCAAATAAAAATCTCATTATACAACAAGATTGTCGGTCAGCATTAATGCTTTGATAAGCGTTCTGGAAAAATTCGTAAGCATGAGTAAAGCATGACATGAAAGGTGACAAACGCGCATGACAGGAAAAATTACATAAAGAAGCAATATGAGCGACAAGATATGAGAATCGTAGCTTCTGGCAGTGATCGCGAATACAATTCACGTTCTGGAGAATGCTGTACCTCTATTTAGGAGCAAAGTCCGGATGACGCGAAAGTAGAGTCGGCCAAATCTGTCCCTCGCCACGTGGTACAAGAAGTCGGGATATTCGCCGAGGCACTCGCGCAGTTCCGCGTCGGGTAGATAGCTTAACTCCTGGAAGAGCTCGCGATCAAAGCCGGGCGGTGGCGAGGCACGCGAGCCGCTCGCGCACCCCGCTCCCGAGCCCGCACAGGCCTCCTCCGTGACGTGCCCGAGCCGCGACCATCGGCTCCGCCCGCCTAATACCTCAATATCCTTTCACGCGCAACAACACTTCCAATTTTTATACTCCACTACTATTTCAGTTGAGTTTTATTAAAAATGTTCTTCTCTGCGACGTCTATCGTGAAATAAACTGACAATTCATTTTACACTTCGCCAAGTCCAATATTTATTTTAGCATAATACCTGTAAAACCGCCAGAATCGTGCCACTATATTTCATGTAATAGAATAAACACGTTTGACGTGGCATACCTAATAATAAGCACGCGAACTAAAAACTCCGTACGCTCGGGTGACCAAGTGAGCTGCTTTAAATTAACTCACATGAAATCGCAAATATGAATTTGGCACGAACTCCATCCACAACGTAACCACCAATGATCGTTATACGTTAAATATGTACTTATGACATTATTTTTTTCAGTGAAAGTAACATGCAATTATGGTGAAAAGGGACAGTCTTCCATTAAGCCTGATATTGATTACGCAGGATTGAGGGCAAAGCTAGTCGCGCCCCTTTTTTGCCCACACCTAGTCAAGTAACGGCACATCTACTATCTTTTTTTATAAATGGAATTTAAACCACAACGTTTTAACAACTCTTGATTATCCAGGAACACTGAATACATATAGAAAAAGAACAAGGTTGCAACACTACTCGGAAACGTGTACACTTACTGCAAGGGCTTTTAGACCATTAGTGCAGCTACTCAGATAATCGAAAGAAAAACGCAGCGATATCCGTGTAACAGAAAGGAGATTAAACAAATTTATCAGAAAATTTAAACTAACGTTAAAGTTAAAAGTAGGTGGTACATTATATCTATAAATCCATTAGATTATGCCTGTTTTGTGGTGTTTAAAACAAGAAAAAATTGAGTTCGTTACATGTAAATATTTTCGCATTCGTACTTTATGTCACTATAAACTATTGTCAATAACATAATGTTATAATCTGAGTAAATGTAGATATATAAGCCTGATATAAAGATTATGAGATATCGAGATGGCTAAATTTAAAATTAACGGTACCTAGTAGAAAATTAACTCAATATTTACTATTCAGAAAGTAACATAATTAGCAATATTTAACATGACGTTTGAAAAAAACAAGTAAATTGAAAAAACAAGTGTTAACATTTCAATCCACTTAAATCCCCTTGTATTATACTTATATAAATGCATAATGACCCCTAATACCGTATAATAAATACAGCATTACAAACAATAGATTTTTATCAAAGACAATTCCTATTCAATCAATGCTCTAACTACATTCTAAAGCTGAGATCATATTGAATGGATTGTAAATCGTCGCAATCTACTTGTCTTCGTCATGGTTAATTTTAACATAAAATAACAAGTATACAAACATAAACTAATTAGCCTGTTAACTAGATACAGTAAGATTACTATTTATGTTTAAACATGAAATTAGTCGACATGGTTACACTAACACGAAACAAGAAAGTACAAAATCAATTATCCACGATATTTTAAAAGTAGTTAGTCATGTACAGTTATATTAATCGGGAATTCGAAACAGTTTCTAAGTATTGATGCCACCATTATGTCTGATAGGACGTACGGAACTTAGATACTTACATAGAATGTCAATTTTCATAGATCTGTAATTACTTTACTGACATGACCAAGTCATAATTCAACGCAACTGTTCGCTAGGTCGTTGTGCACGTGATTCAGAAGTGACGTCAAATCACCTCGCGTCGAGGCACAGAATACTTAACAGATTGAGGTTACGCGAAATATATTTAAATATTAAAAGGATACGCTATTTTAAATATGAAGTTGTATTGTTATTTAACCGAGGATAACATCAAATAATATTTTTTTCATTTAAATTGGATTTGTTTAATTTTTTTATAACCATGACAAATGAGTAGTAATACACACGCCAATAAATTTTGTTTATCAATAAATAGCATTATCTAATAGCACAAAAGCATTACAATACA